ATGGCGTTTCACTATAAACGACGAATCACATTTTAAATTGTTGCCATCAAATATTATCGCCCTATATTATATTGAAAGAAATTCAATAATGAAAAATCTGCTTGAACATATGTTTCTCGCATTGTGAAAAAAAGACGGTACCTAAAGCCATCAAATTTTGGAAATGTAATCATCCACCAGACCATGGGCACCTGTATGCCCTAATTTTGAATATTGAATTTGTTTTAGTACCTATTTCGTATGTTGTAAAACTTTAATGAATTTTTGATTAACGATCTCAACAATTTCAAAGCGAGTAATAGCAACACTGTAAGGGGAAAAAATATCTCCAGCGCGACAGACTGTCTATCGGAAATTCTAAAGATATGTTGTTGTTAAATATTTTGTGATATTGCTGTTCAACATAATTTTATGTGGTTCAAAAATGAGAAGAACCTGATATTTAATAATAAAGATAGCACACAAAACGTTAAAAAAAGGTATAATATACTTATGGGTATAAGTGTTCAAACTTTCGCTTATTTGATTCGTTAGAGATTCGGAGATTTAGTAGTTCTTTAATAAGAACGGGTTAATTATTTTCCCTTTATTTCTTATTGGAAAAGTTCGTTTACTTTATGTTTAGTTTGGTATTAGTACAAAGATCTAAAACGGAATAATGTTGTATGCCGAGTCATCACTGTACATGCCGCTACACTAACGAATGAAGGGACTATGATGTACTACTGTTCAATATGTGAAAAGCATCAAGCATAAAACAAATTAACTCTACTCTGTACGTCATGTTGTGTAAATAATCTCATAGGCGTTATTAAGTAAAATACTGAAAAATTTAAAATCTTTATATTTTAAATCTTGATTAGTATGCTTCCTTTTTCTAGTGACGTATCGTTCAGTGACTATCACTGGCTGATGAAACTGAAGCAACATAGTTTCACTTTAAGAAAATACATATCACATTATATATTTTATGATTGTTGAGATATTAAAATAAAATCAGGTGAATCACGTCTCTAGTGAGATGTAACGCAAATGGCGATTGTTTTTGAAACCTGATTGTTATGGGTGTTGAAATAAACTATTGTATACAAGGGTGTTACTTCAACATCAGTAACCCGTTATAATCCGTAACATACTTCAACAGCCAAATTAGAAAATAATATTTTGGCTAAACTAGTATAATCAGTTAATTATGTTGTTTTACTTAAAGAATATTTTTCTTTCTTTAAAATTAAGAAGAAAAATATCTGTCTATATATATTACATTAGTTCGTAAATTAATATTTATCCCTCTCCTTGTATTTTGACCGACATTAGTTTGGTGCATAATAAAATGGCATGGTAAGTAACATAAAATCAATTCATTTTCATTTCCACATAACATCTTTTAAAACAGGTTTACACTTTCCTTGATCTAACATCTAGTTTTACTTTCGAATTAAAGTAATTACAATGTTTCGAATTAATTGAAAAATTAATGTATTTTTTCACTTTGGCATCAAAGATAAAGAATTATTTCTGCTAAGAAAACAGATATTTAATCTGCCTCTGCAGAACTTAATTATACTTCTGGCATGAAAAGCTACGCCTATCGAGACTAGAATTGTCTCCATTTCGATATGTCCTTATTTTTTTCTCCTATTTTTTCTACTTTCACCAGTCAGCCTTCTCTTCGCGAACACATCATGACACCCAAGAAGCTAGAAATACAACAGAGCAAACAAAGGAAGTAAATTAACAGAGTAATTTATTACGGACCCTTCCACAAACTACAAATTACTACTTGAAAAGAAAGCTGGATAGCCAGACGGAAGAAAGAAGAAAAGTAGAAGCGAGAAAAAATACAACACAGGTTGGATATATTCATTTCGTTGTAATTTACTGTCCCTCGCAGCGACTGGTAACAATTAGTCTCACCTTTCAGTAATCACATCCATTGATCTAAATGAAGTCTCACACAGATAATGGGAGGCGGGAGATTTGAAGAGAAAATTCCCTGTTGGGAGCCATGAAAGGAATCAAGGAAAGCATCGAGCATTTTATTTTGGAGGACTCGCAGCACAGAAAAATAAATAACAGAATTCTTGGTTAAAATTATTTAGATCATTTCCTTGGTAGTTGTTGATGTTAATTCAGTTACAGCAGTCACAGACAACTTCTGTCCCCTCGTGGGCTACTTTACGTCAGCCCTCTTCGCGAAGCAGGACACAGAGTAATTTATCTTTTAACAATTATTTAGTAATATGACTTAGAACAATGCGCACTGGATATTTCAAGGGTATAGTACCTTTATTTAATATGACTTTTTCAGAATGGTAATTTTAAGAATGTTAGGAATAAGAAAAGTACTGAAATTAGTAAATACAATTAATAATGATCTATTTTATAAACTTAACAACGAAATGCAGGACACCTCAAATAGCTGGCGTTTAATGACATATATTGCAGTAACTGCTTTTTCATTTTAATAATCTACAGAATTATTTAAAATTTACAGATACGAAGAAAATAAATATTCAGTAATGTAGTTTGAAATATTGTGCCAAAAGTGTTAAAAACTGTTTAGGTTGCTTTTTAAATTTATTGTATGTTAGCATATATTCTTCATACAATCTATATCAATGGCTTTCAACCTTTTTTACCACATGAATCCTTTTTAACGATTCCTATATGGCCATTTCCCGCTCCTAACCAAACTCGAAAAACACGTATACATTTATCTAAAATTACAATAGTTTTAATGTTAAAAAGTCTAGAAAATTTTGATAAATACCGAAAACTGAAAAATGTATTTTTTTACATTCACAAAAAAACTATATACTTAACTGTTAAGTGAAACGCTTATCATGTTCCCAACATGAAAAGTTGAAATTTCTTCCTGGTTCTAAACTCGTGATATGTATCAATACTGAATGGATTATTTAAGGAAATAGATAGTCAGTTTGGATTTAATTTTGATTTGCCATACCTGAAGTTTACGTGGAATGATGAAATGCGCATACTGACGGTAAATTAATTTTAGAAATTCTTTATTCTTATTTTAGATGTATTATTAGTTATATTATAATTTGTATTCTTTAACGTGTCAAAAACTAGAACCGTAAGTATAGGTAGATGACTTATCATCCCGACTTACCTAGTGACCAGAAATTCAAACGAAAATTTTAAACTAAATAATAATAGAATATTTTGCTGAATCATCTATATCATGTACATATTTGCATATAATCATATATATATTTTGCCGAATTATATATTTCATAACAATAGAATATTTTGCTGAACGAATCTATAGCAAAATATTATACACCAAATAAAAGAGAAGGTTAATGTCTTTTCCGTAAGGTCCTGAATTTCCTGTGTTCAGCATTAAAAAATAACGTAATAACTTCATTTCTTTCCATTAATACAATAAAATTTTATAAATAAATAAATAAATAAATAAATCTGAAAGGTTTCAGATTTTAAATTACGTCCAAAGCGGCGTTTTTTAACGTTTTGTGTGTTACTTTTATTTATTAAACATCATGTTCTTTGCATTTAAACCATAAAATTCAGTTCAATAGCAATGTCGCAAAATAATTTTAAAAAAGAGCATATCTTTAGAATTTCCGATACACAATTCCGCGCGCTGGAGATAAGAAGGTTTTTTTTTTCCCTCGTAGAGTGTTGCCATTGATTGCTCTGAAATCCTTGAGTTTGTTAATCAAAAATTCGTTATAGGTTTACAAAATATTAAATCGATAATAAAATAATTTCCAAATTTCAAATTTCATATTCCACATGCCTATATTCGTAGAAGGATTACGTCATTCAAAATTCGATGGCTCTATGTACCGTTGTTTTATCACATTGCGAGAAATGTACATACATTTATTCATATTTTTCATTATTTAATTTCTTCCTTCCAATATAATACAGGACTCTAACATTAGGTGGCAAAAGTTTGAAAAGTGAAACGGACATTTAGAGTGATTCAACGGAAAATCGTGAAACGAAAACAATAGTACTTCAGGGACAAAGCCACTTTGGACTAAAAATTTTAACCAGGAAAATACAAGACAAATTGAAATATCTGAATATCAATTAAAATTTATTCTGGCTTCAGAGTTTTTTAACTGTATATTAACTATAACAATTATACTAAAGTTTATGAAATTTGAAAGAAATAAGTTAATAATGAGTTAGGCGTAATGAGTTAGAAAACATTAAAATAAATAAATACAAATATTGAGCATCTACAAAATTTCATGATAAACATTTTTAACAAATTCAAGGAAATTTATCAGATGACAATTGTCAGCATGCATCACTATTTTATCTCTTTCATGAGTGATGAAAATGAGCAGTTACATGTGCACAGCATTGCAGCCTACATATTAACTTGTCTGACCTAGTCAGAATTAAGGGCAAGAATTTTGTAATGATCAGGCTCATAGGATTGCGTTTGTCGTTGGCGCTGGCTTTGTCACCATGTAAGATTCTATTGGGTTGTTCGGAAAGTAATTTCGTTTTTTTTTGGGAACTTGAAAGGCAATTTTCGTATAATGAATAAATATTTTATTAAATTATATATTGGCCATTCTGGTCCAACACCTTTTGCCATCTTTCTGGCAGTAACATGATTCCCCGCTCATAAAAGTTTTGGTCCTTGCTGGCAAAAAACTGATTCAGGTGGTTTTTGACATCTTCATTTGAGGTAAAGGTTTTACCATCCAAAAATTTTGCAGGGACCGGAACAAATAATAATCGGAAGGCGCCAGATCTGGAGAATATGGTGGATGTTGCAGTATGTCCCATTCAAGCTGTAAAAGCTTTGTGGCGAGTGCCCAAACTTGTATGAGGTCTCGCATTATCCTGGTGGAACACTACACCCTTCCTGTTGGTTAATTCTGGCCTCTTCTGTTTAAGTGCATCATTCAATTTGTCCAGCTGATGACAATAGACTTCCGAATTAATAGTTGTATTGTCCAGTAAAAGCTTTAAAAAAAAAAAAAAAAAAAAAAAAAAAAAAAAAAAAAACGATTCCTTTGAAATCCTACCAAACGGACAGCATCACCTTTTTTTGGTGAATGTTGGCTTTTGAAACGCTTTGAGCCGGTTCATCTTTTCTGCTCCATGACCTCTTGCGTTTCACATTGTTGTATACGACCCATTTTTCGTCCCCAGTAATAATCCGCTTCAAAAATGGATCATTTTCCTGACGTTTGAGGAGTGAATCACACACGTCAACGGGACGACACAAATTTCGCTTCGTAAGAACATGGGGCACCCACACATCGAGCTTCGAGGTTAAACCCAGGCCTTTCAAGTGGCCATAAACAGTCGAATTCGACAAATTTAACCTCTCACCGATCTCTCGTGCAGTTATTCGCCGATTTGCATCAACTAATGCCTTTATCGCATCTTTGTCAGCTTCGACCGGCCTTCCAGACCGTGGTGCATCTTCGACATCAAAATTGCCGGATCGAAACTTTGCAAACCAGTTCTGGCACTGGCGTACTGTTAACACGCCTTCTCTATACACATCCGTCAAATTTTTTCTCGTTTGGACAGCATTTTTACCTTTTCTGAAGTAAATAAGTAAAATATGACGAAAATGCTGCTTAGTGCTCTCCATATTTAAAAGGGCACCAACCAAAGACTACTGCGTAGAATTAATAGAACGTTTTCACACACAAGCCTTGCAATATCAGCTCTCAAGACGTATAATGGTTATGCGGCTTAAGTGTGAAGTAGGTTTCGAAAAAATGTAATTAAGTCCTCTGACGGGGAAAAAACGAAATTACTTTCCGAACAACCCAATATTTTACCCAGCTTCGGATAAATTTTCCACCATGAAACGGATATGACGGTGTCGCGCGCCTCATATCATACCATCAAATCATTCGATAGGACTTTCGGTTCGACATGTATTTTAAGTGCCCAATGACACAAAGTCACTATATGCTTATAAGCATCCAGGTATTTTTTGGCGTTTAAGCCTGGGAACATCGATGCGGTATCCAGCGTCGTTAGTCACTAGACTAGCCTCCAGGGCTGCCTGAGTTTGCTTAAATAACCTTTAGCCCTTTCTAGCTGTGCTTGCTCACGCGAGGCGACGGGTTGACCAAAAACTCAGATTTGTCTCACAAATATCATGCTTTAAAAACTTAAATTACAGTTTAGCATTCATATTTCTTTAATACCACAGTGGAGCCTTTTATTTTTACATCAGCTATGTATTTTGTTGTTTGGATGAAGATTGGAAAAAAAAAAAAAAAAAAAAAGGTTTGGTCTGATTTGATATTACTTTACTGAGGGGTCAGTTCGGGGTGACGCAGGGTAAGCCACCTGGCTATCATGGAGACAGAGAGCACTTTAAGTTGTTATGCTAATTAATTTCGAAAAATATTTCTAGTACTTGTTAAAAAGAACAGAAGTTTTAATTGCGATTTAACATTCATTGATATCTGAAGATGCTGATTTACAATTATTTTTATACAAACAGAAGATTACTGACCCATTTTTATGAGCTAACTAGAAATCGATTGAGAATTTGAAACAAGTTAGGCCTGTGAGGCTTTGATTGCCTTTTATAGGATTACTTTTATTTAGTTATCATTGCATATTTTCAATTTCGAAACCAGCCTTCTGAGTCGGTAAGATAGTGGAACTCATCGTCGAATTAGAAACAAGGTATGAATATTTGTGATAATCTTGCAAAGTGCTTGCGCATGTAATATCAGTTGCTTCCTAAGCCTTGTGATGAGAGGGATAAATGAGGATGGATTTTTTCAATCCTATTGCATGCTTAACAAACATACATTCGGTAACTGAATTTACAAACAAAAAACGAAGTAATGCGCTATATCTCAGTATATTTAGAATAAAATTAGCAAACTAAATGTTGAAGAATCAAGGGGCTTCAACAATGAGGATTGTTTAACTCACATGATATTTACATGATAAAAGTTCAGATTTCAGAGAATTTAGAATGTAAAGAAGTAGTAAGCCTAAAATGTATTAAAAAAGTAGATAATATTTCAAAAATTCAAATAAATGATTACTTTACGAGAAAATACGCAGTAATTCACAAAATTGTTATTTAACAGTAAATCGCGCTTAGACTTGTGATCTAATCAGTTTCAGAATTTCGAAATGTTAGATCCTGCAAAAACGTTTTTGATTTGCGAGTCAAGAGTTTTTACTGCAAACTTGAATTGAGGAATATTTTTTTTTATTTCCAATGCTTTGGTAAAAAAATCACAAAGAACTGAAATCTTATACACTGAGGGTACAAAATAATAACTAAGATAAAAAAAATCGAAGTAGTTGCATAAACAGCGTTATTTCCACCCAGTATTTCGACTCTCTTGTACGACCATGAAGAGTCAGAGTCCTACATCGGAACAGATGGTCCTTGTCTATTTCTTCTCAGGAATCACAAAGTAGGCAAATATGATCTTTTTAAATATATGCGGTGCAGGTGGGCGGCAAGGCAATCATGTTCTGTAGACAAACGGCTGCAGAACATGATTCATCAGCTGCATTGCATTTTGGACTATCGGGAATAAGAGAAGGGCTTAACATTCTCCAACTTTTAACTCTGTAGGAGTCTGAAGATCTCCTAAGATATTAGTTTATAAGATAATTTCTCTCTCCTTGCAGCATGGCTTCGTGGTAGTCATCCTATAAAAGTGGGAGTATAAAAGATCTCCTACTTACAAAAAAAAAATCTTATAACTCTACACTCACGGCTGAACTAAAGTGGCAGGTGGTGGATGATAATTCTTCACCGCCATGATTTGGTGGCTGGGTCCCCTCATCCCCTATCGTTCTTCAAAAGGGTAATTTTATCCTCAATTGTAACTTGAAAAAATGTGCTCACAGAGAATTTTTGGGTACGAAATTCCTGTGTGTTGAGCTATGCAGACTAGAACAAAATGCTAGGTAACTTCAAAGTCAACTGTACTCTCATAATTTCCGTAAAACTAGGGGTCGGTTCGAATGTTGAAGCAAAACGTTCTAATGCCCAAGACGTATAATATTTCCTGGCGGGTAGGCAGACTGATATTGTCCTCCTTATTTTTTGTGGTGAAATTACTTACACCTCAGACACAATATCATCAGATTACATTTACTTATGGACTGCTCATACATCAGATTGCTTATACATCAGATTCCATTTGAGCACATTCAACATATAGCCATCTGCACTACCAAACTCTTCTAAACTAACTTTCTCGATTTCTTATAGACTTTTGCAATAGCCATGTGAAGTGATATCATTGTCATCATCTAACTCGTCAACCGAATCAATGTTTTTACATCTCCAAAAATAAAGACACATGCAGAAAGGAAACAGCTCTGTATGTGTTGTGATGACACACATTGTCAAGATGCTGCAATATATTTATTGCATCAAACACAATTTAAACTGGCGTTTCCGTCTCCTGTTCAGTAACGCGAATTGCAGCTTTTGCAAGTCGCTTCGTGTAGGAAACTGCAATAATGCTTCGATCCAAAGGCTGAAAACAACTTATTAAATTTTTGAACGCCACGGAACATTTCGGAACGCAACCCTACCAAAGAAACAACAGAAAAAATATAAAACACTTGGAAGTTCGTGTTAAATGACAAAATCTAATAGTGCAATGGACTAAAAAACAGTTCGTAATTCGTGATAACCGAAATTCGCATTAATCAATAAAACTTTCTATAACATCACGTACACCGCAGCCGGGACAGAAATTTTGTGCATGTTAAATTAATTTTCGCTTTCAACGAATTCGTGATATGGGGGTTTACATTTAATATTTTAGAATAAACTTCCTGAAGTCTTAACGTGTAACGGTTGTTATAAATGAACAACGTCCCCATAGAAAGTCCTCCGCGAGAATCTCCGCTTTATATCTCCGCTATAGTCCTTGTATTCATTGTAAAATCCATATAAGCAAACGAGTCAGAAGTTTATGTTGCAAACCTCTTAGGAGCTTTAAAAATGCTTATTTAGTGATACTCCTTACTATCTCAACATCATTTCAACTCGGACAATAAGGTACATAAAGAATGGTATTATTCTTATAATATTGTACTAGACTTATCTGTATTATCTGTATACCGAAGACATGCACATTTTTAATCCAAGATAATTTCCATTTTGAAATTTTTAGTATGCTCTATTGACATTTTGAGAAAGTATTTCAAAATTTTAATGCGTACTAAAATCAAAAAGCCAAATTATAATAACCCTTAACCCTGTGTACGTCTTAGTATGCAGAATATTTAGAACATAGAAACAAAGCTCTGCGTTTAATCCTTCTTAAAGAAAGGTCATGTTTAATTGAAACTGAATTAATACATAACTGCATGAATATAAGATTTTCAGTTCTTTACATTTAAAGGAAAACTTCTTTCAAATCATTAGAATCTTCCTTGTAAACATGGAATTCATAGAATTTGAAACACAGCACGGCAAAAGAATCCTGCAACATTACCAAGAAACTCAATTATTTGATCGAATCCCCAAACAGAATTTGCATGGATGAAAACATAGTGGCTGCCCCACAAAAATCAATTAACTAAGAATACGTTTGTTATGCAGCTTTAGAAATATCAATGCTGAATCTAAATTGAATTGTAAAATCAAAATAACATAAATCCTGTGACCTTAAATTAACTTCGATCGAACTAATTGTGAATGAAAGCAGAAAGCCTTGCAGTTAAAAAAAAAGCAACACACATCCATGGATTTTTTTTTCATTTCTTAATTAGGTTCTTCATTACAAACATGATGGAAAAGAAGCGTTAAATTGGGAATCTCCATTAACTTTTGACCGAACTTTGACAATGTGTCGAGGGATTAAAAAAAGAATGCTGACTTAAGACAAAAATTGGCAGTCTTGGAAATTTCTGCAAAAATAATAAATTAAAAACATGGAATTCTGTTCCGTGCTACAAAAATTTTAAATTACCTTTTCTCTGTCGAACCATAACTTCTCGCTCTTGAAAAGAAGGTCCTGCCATTTTATCATACACACTTCGCAAGAAATACCAGCGTGCCGTCAGCGGAGCTTTTTAAAAGGTTGTGATCAGATAAGAAGTTCTTGACGTAAAATAAAATCACAAGCATCTGTCTAAGCATAGGAAGGGTTTAAAAAAATGTGCGTAAAGCGAAATTATCGATCTTACAAAATAAAAATAAATTCAACCAATAAATTCAAATTTACGTTTTCTTGCCAAGTTTTCTCCGGTACTTGACAAAGTGTCAAATTTATTGCCAGAAAAGGAGAAGTTTCGAGTTAAGCCTGACTAAACGGAAATCTATACAAAAACATCGGGTATTTTGAAAGAGGGAGGAGACTGGCGAAAAACTGAATTGTGCCTATGTTATTGAATTGTGCCTAAGGGTTACTATGTTATATAAAGCACTGTTATAATTATTTTAGAGAATATAAAAGTTGTAATTAATTGAATATAGCCCAAAAGTGGTTAGGAAGAAATAGTTTAGGTTCTTTTATTTCAAAATAAATTCGTTATAAATGCTGGGATAGAATTTTTGGGTCAACATCAGCAATTTAACCCTGAT